GGGAAGAGAGGCAGGGGTCTGCCTTAGGGCTTAACCACATTGCCCTGCCCTGCCATTTGTAAAAGGTTGCTAATCCCTGATCTAGTATATATCCATGTTAAGATAAAAAGTTAATGTTTTAATATATTGTGGCACATGTGATGGCCAACACCAACTTGCAAATCCTAGTGTTAGCTGGACCAGGTTGTTTAAAATGAGTTAGCTGTATGAAATGAAGCAGAAGTCAGGGCAGAAAGGAATTATCCAGGCAACATCAGAAAATCCTCACTGACCATGCCCCTGGACTCTGCTGGAGGAGAGAGAGAGATTTCTGTTGTTTGCATTTCAACAAAAGGCAGAGATGATAAATTGATGGTAAGCTTTACAAAATCTTGAGTAGCTAGTTTGCTAACCCTACCTCCTGGCATCCTGTTTCTTTGCACCAAACAACAAAAAAAGTGCTGAGGCCTTGAATCTGCAATTTGTTGCATGCAAACAATCTGCTGGGGTCCATGAGAGCCTCAGGGGGGTTCTGCCTGGATGCAGCAGTACACTTGTGTATTAGAAATGACATCATCAGGGCTTTAAAGATTTTAATTTACAGTATCTTTCCTAGCCTTCCCTGGTACCACCTGGGTGAGTACAGCACAGGGAGTTCAGAATACATTTATTTCATTTTTTTTCAAGCACATTTACTATGATACTGTGAATATTCTTTTATAGTAGCATAATGTTCCAGCATTTCCAACATGGCTGTTTGCAGCTGAAGGAGAATGACAGGAAAGAGAAAAACAACTGAAGGCAAAATTACACGGATTTATTTAAAAAACTTGAAGAATTAAGTTTGACATGACCAATGTAGGGCTTCTATCAGAAAAAAAGGTTGGACTGAGAACTATTACCACCCCCTTCTGTTTCCTTGTCAACCTTTGCTGTTAAGTTTAAGGGTACATGAAATAACTGAGTTAGTGTTCAAAGTGTCAGCATCATTTAGATAGGGATATAGTATAAATGGATTTTAATTTTGTTTTCAAGCTGCACCTCCTAATCTTCTTAAAAGCATTTTGACAAGAGAATTAATACTTACTAATAACTGGCAGCTAGTGTACAGTTTAAAAAAATAGGGAGGATGAAAATCTTTGCTTGAAAGATTTCAAAAGGGAACAGTTGTAATTTGATTGTAGTTTGAAGTAGGTAAAGGATATCCCTAAGGTGCTAGGTAAGAGGATATGATGAAGAAACAACTGTATACACCAGAGAATTATTACTTTCATCTGTAGCTAATAAGCATAAATTAGAGTGCAAATGAGGATAGAGATTTAATGTCTCCAGGGCGCAATTTACTAAGAAGTTGAGGACAAGAGGCTCAGTGTGAGAGGGATATAGGGTTCCTCACTGGGTCAGAGATTGTGATCCCAAAGTTTATGGATGACCAAAGAGAAATCACTAGAAATCTCTTGGCAGGAAAAGCACTCAAACAGAGAATATCATATATGGATGAAAATGATAAATAAGTGTAACATTAACTTAAACTTTGTCCATTTCCGTGTACATCATTTTGAGGTTTTTTTTCAAAGGAAGTATCTACTGGATAAATTACCATCTTGGTCAGTTAAATTAACTGACATGTGGCAGCACTAGGTCGAGTGGGTACTCCTACAGTGCACAGATAATTGTATAACTCCTCCTAGTCTCTTTGTATATGAATAATTTCAGAACCTGGATTTCTAGGGTAAAGTAGTAGGATGTTAACACTGATCAGCAGAGGAAGCTAGAGGTCTATCAGTTGCAGTGGTTCAAATCTACTGCTGGTCAACTCCATGCTTCAAAAGAAGGTACAGAAGCTCTATTTTAGACCATTATGGAAGATTCTTCCTAATGCTGTCAGTTAGAGACTTGCTTATATGTTGGTTCACACACTTTTTTTAACCACATTGTTTAAAGTCTCTCCTGCTTGGAACACCTCATTTTTTTTACCAGTTTTCACATACCTTTTTATGTCTTTTTAGAGAAACTTAGATCTCTTTTCTTTTAAATCTGTGGTCCATACATATCCAGCTTGCAACATTTCATTTTGCAAATGCAAAGAAAGGGAGAGAAACAGTGGGGAAAAAGAATAGATTGGTTGGAATTCTTTGTATTAATGCCTATGTGCAGAAAACAAAGCAGAGGATGCAGCCAAGTAAAATGCAGAAAAGGGTGGTGACTGCATTAGTTTGGAGTATGCTCATTAGCTTTTCTTAGTTAAATAGAAATCCTCCACTTTGGACAAATTCTGGTAGCCTCCTATATCTTCAGCCGTAAAGCCTGGCTTTGAAACCTAAAAATCTATGTTTACTCTTTTTTCCCCACTCATTTTTTAAAAACTGTAAGCTCTTTGAGGCAGAGATGATGTCTTCATATATGCTTATGCAGTGCTGGATACAGTAGGACTTTAATGCCTATTGGGATCTTCAGTCAGTATCCTAAAAACAGATAACAATGATGACAACAACAACGTTTCAGATAGTGGTTAGGTGTTGTAATTATTTGGAATGGGTTTAGAGTTATTGTACACACTTATAGCCTATGTTTAGTTGGCTTACAAATGCTAACATTTTTTAAACTGTGTCCTTTTATCTTTCCAGGCCACTGGAACGTTCCAGTGAAGATGTAGATATAATATTCACGCGACTCAAAGAAGTTAAAGCTTTTGAAAAATTTCATCCAAACCTTCTTCAGCAGATATGTCTCTGTGGTTATTATGAAAATCTGGAAAAGGGAATCACATGTAAGATACTTTTCATGATGAGATATATTTAAAGTAGTTCAGGGACTAACCTAGGATTCTCTCCTAGGGACAGATAAGGAAATTGAATTTATGGGGTATCATGCTTACATTCAAGAGTTACTTTAAGGGTGACTGAAGTGCTGTGGGAGATGCAGTTCAGCTCATGGTGTTCTATCATAAGTCAGTGGAAGCTGTGCTCCTACTGGATGCAGGTCTGTGACCCTCTTGGACTCTGCAACTGGTTTGCTAGGTAATCTTGACCAAGTAATTTTACCTCCCGGTGTTTCAATTTCCTCATCTGTAAAATGATGATATTGATATCTACCTATTTTTAAAGTGGCTTAAGAAGTAAGGATAAAAAGGTGTTATGTAAGAGCTCGGTATTAATACTAGCACATGATCTAAAGTCACCTTTGATACAGAAGCCCTCATTTTTGTGGTAAGTTTCCTTTGCAGCCCTTGCATGTGCAGGCTTTGGGGCTTGGAGGAGTGATAAGTCTGATGCTGTATAATCATCAGGGATCTGGGTTTTCCATTTGCTGCAGAAAAATGCAGATTTTTTTCTTTAAAGGAGAAAACTGGGAAATGGTGGGTTTTACTGTGTAAGGGGCTGCTTGGGGCTGGGGGGAGCAGGGAGAGGTCAACTGGAGGCAGGGAGTGCCCTCACACGCATGTGGCTGGCATACAGCCAGGCAGGATGGTGGGAGCAGGCCCATCAGCTGAATACAGGTAAGTCTATGGGATGGTGGGAGTTGGAGGGCCAGGGGTTAGGGACTGTCCAGATCCGGGTGGGGGGATGCCTACCAACACTGGGGGAAGGAGTCCAGGTGCCCAGCTGAGCTAAGTGTCACTCCCCAGTGCTATGATCAGGTTGGGGAAGGCAGTCCTAGTCTCCATCCCACCCACAGTGGCTGGAGCAACTCCCACTTGTGTGGATAGTGACGGAGCAAATCTGGCCCCAGCATGGATTGGAAGGAAGAGGAGGGGATGCCTGTTGCACCCTTTGTCCCAGGCTGAGGCTCCCACACAATGCCAGGCAGCCTGGCCACAGCCCCCTCCCCCCTGGGCAGCATCTTCTGGTTGCATGCAGCCACCCCTGTCCCTAAGGGCATTGGCACTTGTCTCTGGTGACCCATCCACGCAGCTTCCCACTGCCCCCAAAGGACCCCCCCCGCCTCCTTTCCCCACTGGAGACCTGTGAGTTGGCATGGGGCCAGGTGGGGAAAGGAGGCGGGGGGGGTCCTTTGGGGGCAGTGGGAAGCTGCGTGGATGGGTCACCAGGGGCAAGGGGTGGGGGCAAGGGGCTGTGGGTCAGGAGTGAGGGGCACCAGTAAGGCCAGGGGCCTGCAGTTCAGGAGTGAGGGGCACCAGCAGGGACAGTAGACTGTGGATCAGGAATGAGGGTCACAAGCAGTAAGGCTTGGAGGTGTGGGGGGCTGTGGGTTGGGAGGCAGGGGCGCTGTCAGGGCCAAGGGACTGTGGGTCAGGAGTGAGGGGCACTGGGAGAGCTGTGGCTTGGGAGTGAGTTGTTAAAGCATGGTCAGGGCAGGGCACTAGCATATCAGAGCTGCTCAGCACCACAAGGAAGCAGGGGAGGACAGCTGCAGCTTGACCCACATCCTGGTGAGTGAAAGGAGCAGGGAGAATTCTGATTTGTCATGATAAAAAAACAAAATCAAATGCCAAAATATATAGGTATTTAGAATTTATTCTAATATAATAAAGGGCTTAGTCCATCTGTCTGTCTGTAATGCTCTTGGAGCACTCTGACTGGTTACTGAAACAACCAATCAGAGTGCTCCAGGAGCATTATGGACAGAAGGCAGCATTGGTATGCCACCATGATGGCAGGGACAGAGTTGGGGGGGCAAGGCCAGTGGCATTGGTCTTGTATCCATCATTCCCCTCCCCCCCACCCCAGCCTTGTTCCTTGGAGGCACGTGGTGCTGGCAGAGGAGAACACAAAGGATGGCAGGGAAAGCTTCTCCCCACCCCTGCTCCTGGGAGCCAGTGGTGGCATGGTGGGGGTTAGGGTTAGCAAGCTTCCCCACCCTCCGTCCCTGCCCCCCGTCATTCTTGACGAGCAATTTGCTAGTTTTATTATAATGATTGCAGCACTGGTAGGCTTCCAAACTGCTTTAAAATTGTAAGTATTTCAATAAAGCATAGAAAGCATAGTGTTCAATCGATACCTCTCTCTCTCTCTCTCTCTCTCTGTGTGTGTGTGTGTGTGTGTGTGTGTGTGTGTGTGTGTGTGTGTATATATATATATATATATATATATATATAGTGGCATTGCATTTTAATCATGGAATAGCACAGATATTGGAGATTTTTATTAGAGAATTTGTGATTTTTAAATGGAGAAAACCAGGATCCCTGGTAATCACACAGTGCCAATGTTTTAATAGCCAAATCCTGCAGTTCTTGCACAGCCAAAACTGTGACTGACAGTAGTGGTCATGTTATCTGAGGTAGGACTGAAAGATTTGGCCCAGATGAAGTAAAAAAAAAGATGATATGCAAATGCAAAGACAACAAAAACTTACACTGCTAATATAACATTGTCTACATAAGGTAGATATATAATGCATATACAACATGAACGTAATTTTGATTTGATGTTATTGATGTTAATAAAAATGGGAGGGGGGGTGGCACAGAATTTTTCCACAGACATATTGGCCAGTTTTTTTAAAGTTTGTGTGCCTTCCCTTCTTTTTCCGTTTGTAAAGAGGATTTGATTTTTTTTTTGTATATGCATATCAAATATACTTAGCTATTCATTTTCTTATGTATATGTTGTAAATTATTGTAAGCCAGCTATAGAAACAATATAAGTCTCTTTAAGCAGCTATAACCCATTTAAGATGTCTGTTAACCATTTATTAATAGAACCTTAATATAAAGTATGACTGATCTTTTTGGAAATGGAAATCAACAAGTACTTTAAAGGTCTAAGGTACATAGAAATTAGGCCTGTGCAAAGTGGCTGGTATTTGCTTTGGATTTGGATTCAGCCGATTCGGGGGACAGTGATTCAATTTGGTGATTCAAATCACTGTCCCAAATTGGCCGAATCTCTGAATCAAACAGGCCTCATCCCTGCCCCTGCTCTCCCAGCCCCGTCAATGGCTGCCTTTCCTGGCCCCAGTGTCCCGGCTCTTAAAAAAACCCCCCCCCCCCTGGCCGTGGCGGGGGGGGGGGGGGTGTGGGGGGGATCCCTGCTGTCCCCAACTGCCCCACACTGTGTGGGGGGCTTTGCCATGAGCCCCGCAACCCCTGCCCGCTCTCCCGGCCCTGTCAATGGCTGCTCTGCCCTGGGATTAAAGTGCTGAGACACTGGGGCCAGGTGGGGGTTGGGGGCTCATGGAAGAGCGCCCCCACACAGCACAGGGCAGTGGGGTACAGTGGGGATCACTTCCCCCAACCTGGGGGCAGTTCAGAATCGATTTGGAGGTGTCAAATTGATTTGTACCTTTATTGGTCTCCCAATTCAATTCAGAGGTTCGGGCACCAAATCTTCTCCAAATCGAATTAGTACCCAAAGCTTCACAGAGCCCTAATAGAAATGCAAATTCAGAAAGTCTCTGCCATTATGTGACAGGATATTTAATAAGATGGACTTATTGTTTGACCCAGTAAATGGCAGGTCTTATGTTCTTTAGTTCCACTTAATTGGAAGAGCAATAAAAATGAAAACAAAGCAGAAAGATGGCTAAAACAATGTTTTTTACTACTTTTGTACCAATGTACTGTGCATAGATGTTCTGAAATCGTATGCTGTAGTGTCACTGAGTATTTTGTCTGTCTATAATGTGATATGGTATGGCAAATCTTGTGGTGCTAGCTATCACTGCAGAGATAGTGGGTACGGGGGAGGAGAGGAACTTGTTGCTCTTGTTAGCTATTCTTACAGAACATTTTTTTATTTATATTTTGCTTTTCTAGTATTTCGTCAGGGTGATATTGGAACAAACTGGTATGCTGTTTTGACAGGATCGCTGGATGTTAAAGTTTCGGATACAAGCAACCACCAGGTAAAAATACAATGTTCTTTAAAACAAGCCAGTTGTAAGGTGACAAGAAATGTTATGAATGTTATGAGTCTTTAAAGACTTGGGTAATGATGGCTTAGTTTTCATTGGTACTTTTTTTCTCCATTGCAAGCATGTTGATGATGTTAATGTTTCTCTCTTTTGTTCCCTTTGTCCTTTAGCCTTGTTGGAGGGAACCATGTTACTGATTTCAGGAAACTTAAAATTACTACTATGAAAAGTGTTCTGATTCTGAATATCAAACATGAGTTACTATGTTCTTTCATATGGTGATTTTTCACGATATACAGGAACTTCATGATCTGAATCCCCTAGAAAGCTTTATTTCCCAGCTACAAAGGTTTTTAACTGTAGCTGCAGCCAGTAATCCTAATAGTATAACTGCAGCCCTCACTTCAGAATAAGGAATCTCTTGTAGTCGCATCAAAATGTTGGCATTGCTGGTGAGCTAGGCCTGAAACTGAGGAATAAAATATTTATAAGACAAGGAAATAGGACAGAAAGGAAAAAAAACTGCTGCACTTAGTAAAATATTAATAATTTGACATTCCTGGAAATGATTTTCAATACAATGAGTTTTCTGCAGATTATGTCAAATGTTGTTATAAAGGAGATGGTAGTCAGTTGGTCTGCATCTCCACTTGGAATAGAACAAGAAGAAATCAGCTTAATTTGCAAAAAGGAAGACTGAGGTTGGATATTGGGGAAAATTTTCTAATTATAGTGAAGCATTCGATCAATCTTTCTAAGAAGGCTATAAAACCTCTGTTAGGAATAGTCTAAGCATACACAATCCTGCCTCAGTGCAGAGGGAGCATGACTTTTCCATTTCAATTTTGGCCCTAAATTTTTATGGCCTCATACAGATACTCAGTTTCTCTTGGGGGAGTTATGAGTGTACAGATATTTAGGCTTTTTCTTCCAGAATAAAAATGGCCCATCCAGTGGAAAAATAACCTGGGAACAACCATAGTTAAATCACTCCTGGGGAGTTTATCCTGGGACAGCGAATGTCTGTACATGCCATATGATTCTAGGATCATAGCAGTTATGATTTGGTACTGATGTTCTAATTTCTGATTATTATCTTTAAAGGCGAACTGGAAAGCTGGTTAAAAACAAACCAGTTTTTATAATGGCAGATCATTAATAGCATATGCACATTCATATCAGCTATCTTGCTTTAAAATGTGATAATCAGTTAAATTTTGCTTGGGGCTTGTCTACATGGCACAGATAGTGTGCAGTGATCTTGGGTTTTAATTTGCAGTACCCTACCTACTTTCCATTAACTGTTCCTGGGCACTTTAAGTGTGCACTAAAAGGGCCTTTGTGTAAGATAATTTATTCCACTTTTAAGTGGGTAAGTTACCTTGCACTTAGTGTGCTCCACAAGTATTTGTGTCAGAAATTAATGCTGACTAGCCAGTGGGCTGTAAATTCACACCCTAACTTACAGTTTGCTGTCTTTCCATAGAGACAAGTCCTTAGCTGCTACCAACTGACCAAGTTCTACTATTTCTGTAATAATGATTGACAAAATGAGCATGCAGCCCTCTCAGACTGTTGAAATGCATTGTTCTTTGCTATATTTGTAACATCAAATATTCTCCATGCTGACTTAGTTTTAGTGAAATCACTGTTACAAAAGAGAGACAAATTTAAGATTTGATAAGTAAAACTTCTTCTTTTCCCTTGTCTTGTGTAAATTGCTGTTTTACTACTTGCAAAACTATAATCTATCACAAGAGGGCAGTACAAGAATACATAAGAAACAAGATGGCTAGTTTGAAAAGCTCATCCAGGTATTTAATCTGTCAATTTCTGGAGTTTTGATTGGAACAGATTCCTCTATTACTGGTAGTTCTGTTCCTGTTGGAGACAGACTTACGCTAACTACTCTGAACCTCAGCGGTAATTTTACTTGCCATTAAAATGGGGTAAAAAATTACAATTCAGAGAAATTACAGTATTATGTCTCCAGTATATTTTGAGGGTGTATGGGCTGCTTTACACCAGTTGCTTAAGCACTATCTGTTTAAAGAAGGATAAACTAAAGATGACATTGTTTGTGTTTTAATAGTAAATACGGCACCTAGAAGGCACTCAGGTGATCATTTCTGTTCTCATTACTTACTTTTCTTTTTGGGGTAAATAGTTGGAAATACCTGATAGGCATTATATGTGGGGTTTGAACATGGAGCTCAGTGAATGGTAAACAGAGACTTTCTTTGTTTCTGTCTGGTAGAATGAAAACAATTAGATGACATTATGAAGCACACAGAAGGGAAGTGTTTCAAAGAAGAGAAAAATCCCAGGGTTGATTTTTTTTCCTCCGGTGTCTAGGTAGCATTGCCACGATACATGTTTAAGAAAGAGCTACTATTTTGGAATGAAGAATGTGTTTACACTGCAAGCTGCCATATAGCATCGAGATACCCAATCTAGGTTTAATCAGGTTAGCTTGGGTGACAGCAGTGGTCTATCTGTGACAGCTCTCAAGCTCAGCGTAAGCTAATTTACTATGTTGAGAAGCAGGGTAAATCAGCCCATGCTGAGCTCTTTATTGTTGTACTTCGACTGCTCCTAGTACCTCTGCTAGCACAGGTACACCACAGTCCGTAGTGTCAGAAGAACCTTGGAGAAAATATGGATGTAATTTCTGTTAAACATAGATTATTCTGTCATTTGTAGATGCTTACAGTTATGTGCATTGTCTTTGGAACTTAACATTCAGGTTCATTTCATATGCTTAAGCAGTGTGAAATACCAAAAACTGTCTCTGTAAGCCATTTGAGGTTGGAACAAATGATTATGCACTTTGATGCATATTTTGCATAGGCTCCTGTGGCATATATGGAAGTAACCTAATTGGTGGGATTTGTATACAATTTAATTAGAAGCTAGAAAAGAAATAGTACTTCTAAGAAAGGTATGACTATATCTTAAACCAAATTACCTCGTCTAATATAAAGAGGCTGATCTTGACTGTTATTCATAATGGCCATATAATATCAAATTGTAATTCTAATATGGAGAATTACTGCCACTCTAGGTTGCCTGGAGAGACCTTTTTTCTGTAGAAGTTTACATTTATTCTTGTGTGGATGGTATTATAGAAAAACTGTTTCATAATGAGAATGTTTTTCTTTAACTTTTGTCCTTTGGTTTCTCTGATATTAAAGTCTTGGTTGCAGATAAACTGAACTACCTGAAATAGTCCGTAAGCCATTGTGTTTACAACATGTAACCTTTTCAGACACACACTTATTTATTTTTCAGAATGGACATAAGAGTGATACACAGGCTGACCACATGGAAATCCTGGAAATCTGGGGCGTCATCTGGGAAAACTGGGACGCTGCCCCTGCCCCCATCCCCTCCCCTCCCACCATGCTCTTGCAAGTCAGTGGGGGTGGGGCTAAATGCCTGCAAGGTGCTATGCATGACTCCAACTCCCATCTGGACTGCACCCCATGCCCCTGCATTTCCAAGATGGCCATTATAATTTTTAGCAGCTGGCCAGGACTAGCCTCTGAAATCCAGGGCTGCCCTGGCTAAACCAGGACATATAGTCAACCTAGTGATGTAGAGTATCCAGAAGGGGTAGATGTGGAATTAAGATATAGTGGGTGGGAAAATGATTTTTTTTTTAACCCAAAGCATCCAAAATCACTTTTAGGTGCAAAAACATTGAATAAATCTAACATATTAAGCAAAAATGCCCAGACTCTTAAAACTATTTCTGTTTTATTTTTTTGTCTCATCTCCTCTATCTTTTTATCATTATCCTGAGTCATCTGGGATTTTAAAAGAATCCATGGGATTGCTCACAGAGCAAAGGTGTACTCACAGGAATAAAGGCAGCAATGTTTGGACCCCACAGGGGAATTAATAATACACTTTTATCTTGTGTCACATTCCCACTAGGATGGGTACGTGTTGGCTGCATAAGTGCCCAGGAGACCTCCCTTGACTCACCTGCCATGCCTTTTATCTTAAAAAACCCAACTTTTGAGTTTTGGCCACAGTCCATGCCCCCAGTTAATTCCCTAGAAACGTTACACTCACAAGATCAGGAAAAAAAAGACCCCACCCAATAAAAGCAGACTGCTCCTGGCAGTCTTTACTCCAGACCAGAGCCTTATGGTTCTGGCAACTTCTCCTTCCAGTGTATGAATGCTGGGTGACACAGGTCTTCCTTACCTTTGAAGATCTGCATTGATGTGAGGCTGGATACCCCTCCAATTCTTCAGGGGCCTTTATACATGCCACAAAATTGGCCTTTAAAGTGGCTTAAATACCCTTTTGCACCGCTTTAATGGTGTGACTGTTTACCCTGTTGGCGGCCCAGTGGCAACCCGTGCAGGCAGGCTGCACCGGAGGAAAAAAAAAAGTGGCGAATCTGCTCTTTATTCTTTCTCCCTGGAGCCTGCCTGCCTGCCTGAGCTGCACAGGGGCTCTGTGCTTCCCTCCATGGCTGTGTGGGGGGCCGGTGTTTCCCTCTGCAGCTGCGGTGACCTCTGGGACTGCCCGGGCCGGGTACTTGGGGGAGGGTGCTGCCTAGGGGGTACTGCCGCCACCTCAGAGGGAAGCACTGGGCCCTCCACAGCCCAGGGACCACTAGGCCCACTGGCAGCTCCCCCCCCACACTGGAGAGGCAGGTAAGGATCGGGCTTGACCCTTGTGTACATGCCACAGGGGTTTATGTTGCCCTAAATTGAAGCGGTGATTTAAAAAACCCACTGCTTCAATTTAGGGAGAATTAAACCAAAGTAAATCCCTGTGGCGTGTACAAGCAGCCCAGGATGCAGAAACAAACCTCTTGTGTGCTGCATCCGATGATCTCTGGGCTACACTGCCTCTCTCCCTCCAACCAGCTCGACTTCTGCTTTTATGATGCTGCCACATTGCGGCAGTGTGATGCCAGCTTCTGTGTGCCCCGAGCTCCAGAGGGAGCACAAGCTGATAAATCGCTGCAGCAGCACAGTGGGCTGCTCCGACTCCCAAGGCTCTCCACCTGCAGGTGAGTTAGGTGACCAGCCTTACTCCAGCTGCCTGCCCTGATTCTGAAGGCTTTCCCCAGCTGGGATTGTCTTGGTCCCATTGCTAGTTCCTGTGTATATGAAACTGCCTCTCCTTGGTTACAAAAACTGTACAGCCATATTTTGAAAATGTAAAATTTCACAAATGGGGGAGGAGCCTACATTGAGCAAATCTGTTGTGGGATGGTTGAAGTTTGATCCTGAAGAGTTCTATAGAAAGTTATTACAGCTCTCCAATAAACTTTTTCTTTAAACAACAACTCTTGCATCTCATACATATTGAACCTGTAGTGAATCTAAATATGCAAGCAATTTATATCTGAACTCTCTACCATTTCACAATGATTGCAGAGAATGTACAGCAATAGAAACAAATCTTTTCAAGTCCCTAATGCATTGCTTTAAATAACTGTGAACCTTAGTTGGTTCCCAGCAGCTAGGACCCCTGCTGCTTCAGGGATTTAGAGGGGAACAGCAACCTGAACAGATAGCCACCAGTAGTCCTCCTAAAGGTAGTCTGCATTGAACAGCAAGAGATCCTTGAATGTAAGGTTAACAGTCCTAATAGGAAACACACACCTGATTCCCCAGAAGATGGGAGATATATAAACAGGGAGTAGAAAGAAAATAGGACTATAAAGTCTTGAAGGAATAAATGGGTTTGCCCCCTAACTGGCTGACAGAAACTGCACCTCGGGGAAAAGAAAGGATGGCTGAAAAAAAGTGTGAAAAAGCTTTCCCTGGATAGAAGCATGGACTTTTCTTTAATGAACCAATGATCACTCAGGCTCCTTGACCTCAAAACCCATAGTGTTAATTTATTTCTGCAATTGAAAAGTCTCTTAGAAAGTGATTCCTTAACAAACACATTTCCCTTTTTAACCTTCATCTGTTCTCTTTTTAAAAATACTTTTTGTGTGTGTGTTAAAAATCAAAAGTGAGGTGGGGAGTGGGGAAAGAAAGTAATAAATGTCAAATCTGCTCAATATTTGTCTCATTGGAAGATTTCAATTTCTTCCATACTGTGAATTTATTTTTTCAGTCAGCACAGAACAGAGATCATGTATCTAATAAATCAGGATGAGAATAATATATCATAAGCCTTGAGAACAAAATGTGGCTGGGCAATGAGGGCATTTTCTTTGTAGCCCATTTGAGTGCTTTCCATGGTAACAGTAGAATATTTACTGGTTTTAAGTACAGATTTGTCTAGACAACCTTGTCTCTGGGTATGTTGTTGCCGTGCATACACTCATATGCTTCTTTTGTTTCACACTGTGCCTACCCACATTTGTCTCCCTGTAGAAATTTATTACTGCCAGTTGTTACACTCTTCCTAGATCCTTAATTCTTTTCCAAGACATTATTGATTTTATTTTCCTGAACACATAATTTTATATGGTAATATCTGTGCTAAAGCAATTTGCCATGGTTCAGAGAACTATACTATTATGGACATTTGTCTTTGTAATGCGATTACAAAGCCACTAACTTGATCTTAATAACATTTGCCTATTATCACGTATTAGATGCATGAAAGGAAAACAATGCCATTTTAAGTACAGAAAATGATGTTGAAATATGCTGGTTCATCTCTGCTGGTTTATCCTCTGTGAGCAAATAGTAGAGGAGATGACAGAAATTGTTGCTTTTATGTTTGTGGCCATATTATGAATCTCAAATTTTAGAATGAAACCAAGCCATATTGCTAATGTTGTAGCAAGTTAAATGAGATTATGTTTTCTGTGTCCTTATGAATTTTTCAGAGTAAATTACAATAAATATATGTTTATCATCAGATTTTTTCATTGCTGTCAAATTCCCTATATATATCACATAAATATATATATATATATATATATATCACATTAGCGCTCTTACTATTTTTTATGATTATTTTAAAAATGACTCCAGAACAAAGTCAGTAATTAAGGCCCCAATCAGGAAGATATTTAAGCATATGTTTAAATATAAGTGTGTGAGTAGTCATGGACTTAATTAGTTGTATGCTCAAGTTAGGCTGGTGTTTAGGTACCTAGATGAATCAAAGTTTTAATATTTAGTAGTCTTCTTTTGTTTTCCTGCAGTAGGATATAATTTATTTCAGAACTGTCTTAGAGGACATGATGGATAAGGGGTTAGATTATCAATGCCTTTCACCTTAAGGCCCTGATACTACAGTGAGATCCATTTGAGTGGATCCCAATAGTTATGTGGAACCTACTGAAGTGGACCTTGCTGCAGGTGGGGATCATAATTATTATTCTCAGTCTATTCCAAGTTGTTCTTAATTTAAGGGAGTTACCTCTAAAATGCCTGATCTGTGTGAAATGATTTTATACTTTTAGTCCAGTTCTTCACGGACATGCATTCATTAGCAATTGACAGCTTTCCTAGCAGTCTCAATAGAAATACCAAGAATTGATTTTGTTTAGAGAATGCAATGCATTCAGACCTTGAGTAGATGACGTAGATTAATACCAAAAGGATACAAAACCTTTGTTATTGGAAAAGTGACTTTATTCAGAAAAAATCTCAAGCAAATTTTCCTTCTGCTCAGAGCAACCTATAATAGGGCAGAATTTATGTTCTAAGATTGTCTTTCCTCCTCCAGTTATTATCTGATCATCCCTGTCATTTGTAAAGGATCTCATTGTACAACACCTTTAAAAGATACATGGCCAGAGGTCAGGACTTTCCTCTAAAGGTGGCAGTGACTCCTGTTCTCTCTACTATATAGCAAGGCTGACAAAAGAGGAAAACAGAAATTCTAACTCATTCCCATATTTATGATTTCTATGCCACTAGACTAGCAGTAATTGAAAAATCAAAACCAAAAAAAGAATAAAAATCTTCATCTTAAAAAAAGTCTTAAGTGTCTTTAAGGCTGTGGCATGTTTAATGGTTATGTGCCACAAAATTACAGACCGCTACAAAACCCAAATACTTAATATATTCTTTTTATTCTTTTATTCAAAGGATGCTGTGACGATATGTACATTGGGGATAGGAACTGCTTTTGGGGAGTCCATTCTTGATAACACACCTCGCCATGCTACTATTGTTACCAGGGAGTATAGTGAGCTCCTTCGAATTGAGCAGAAGGACTTCAAAACACTTTGGGAGGTAAAGTCAAAACATTTATTAAACAATTAACATAATTAGATAAATGTATAAGTGAACTTGTAGTACAATGACACTATAATTGAGTGTGAACAAATTCAGTGTTAGCAGAGTTACAAAATGTCATTGTTTTTAATTATTCTGGAGAGTTAGTGCATTCTAGGGGGTTTTTTTACTACTTCGTTGTCCACAAGATTGTACAACATCATTGTTTTTCTTAAAAGGCTTTTTTTTAATCTTGAGAACTTTGCATGATAGCTTACTTCATAAAAGCATAATTCTGCAACAAATAACTTTCTGACATTTGTTTTGAAATTAACTTTATTTAGTTGCTTACTTGCTCACTTATTTACTAAAATAAAAACAATTCAGATTAATTTTATTTATTTGTGTCCAGTAGATGTTGTTTTGTTAGCCTTTTACTAGCTTTTAATACCAGCTACTCAAGAAGAGCCTCATCCCACTGACCTTTTATATTTTCCATTACAGGCATCCCCTGCTTAATGTTGTTTCGCTTAGCGCTATTTCTCTATAACACTCATTTTAAATTGATACCTGATTCCACTTAGTGCACAGCAAGTTTCATTATAATGCTTGCGGTTGCCATCTTGAGTCATTAAAAACACTTGCAGTCGCCATCTTGGATCATCAAAAACTTTTGGTTTTGCTTAATGCTCATTTCACTTAACACTTGGTTTTTCAGGAACCAATTAAGAGTGCTAAGCAGGGTTGCCTGTATTTCA